TAATACAAGAACCTCATAAAAGCCGAAACCGAAAAGAGGAAATATCTCGATTTGACTCATATCAATTCACGTTCTATCGGTGAATGGCCTTATCCCAACCAGACTGGAACAACACCTCAAACGGTTGGGATACCTAGGCAGCTCACTCCCGGAAAAGATGCAGAAAGTTTGAAAGAAACCAGTATCAAAAAGAAATGCTTTTGGATACTGCCTACATAGAACGCCGGTTGCCCTCCCGGAAACTCTGGTCCCCGGCAGACTGTGCTTTTGCTTTTTTTAGTTTGTCATCTTCTCACATTAAGAGGGGAGATAGGAATTTTGGTTAATATATATATATATATAAATGTTGGTTCTATTTAATTTGGAAACAGTGTTGCAATCCATTGCTAGCAATTTATCTTATCTTAATCTTCACACAATTCTCACGGAAACCATCACAGTTAATTATTTGATGAATTCGTCATGATGGGTCAACTGATCTGCTTTCATCCTCATCTATCATCCCTCACTGGTTCCTCATCAGCGTATACTGTAACGCCGGCTGGGCATTCATTAAAACAAGACGTAATAAATTTATATATTTTCTAAAGAGTAAGCACACGACAATATATTGAGCTAGTGTCGGGGCTTGGGGTCGGACATCCGCATTTCCGTTGACCGCCAGCGCGTGACACCTTCCGTTTTGGGGTGCTGACATGACCGTGACGATTTGGCGTGACATGACGTCATCTCAGCAGTGAGCTTGTTCTAAACATACCTTTGTATTATGCGGTGACAAATTGTCACCGTACCTACATCCTTCTGTACTGGCGAGTCTATCTCTTAATCTTTTGATTATTATGAGTAATTTAATTATTGTGAATTAAAAATAATATTGTTAATGCCATAGATATACATAAATGGTTGATACCTACATAATTGTAAAAATTATGTAAATTGTGATTAATAAATTAATATTTTCATGGCATAAATATTACTCTCCCTAAAGTACGAGAATAGTTTTGAATTCGCATTTATTTTTTCGTGGCTAGGTGTGTTCACTTACGTCACCAATTTTAAATCTAATTTCATTGTTAGAATAGAATGGAATAGAAATCGTCTTTATTTAAATAAACTTGTTTACAAGCCCTTACAATGCGTTTTTTTTTTAATTATTCTAGTAATACGGTTTACTTAAATTTGTGAATCTTGTTGCAAAGCAAAATCTACTTGAATTTATTACTGATTAGCTGTATCCCGCGGCTTCGCTCACGTAAATCTGTATATAAAGTACTAAGTTAGGATATAACGTACTCGTAGTTATTGCATGAAAGAGTAACAAACACTATCTATCTATCCATTATACATTATAAACTTTCGCTATTATATTACTAATTTTTACCAGCGACTTCCTTCTTCGTCTTATATACTACGTGTATACCAAATTTCAGTTATTGGTTAAGCCATTAAGTCACTATAATGTAAAAAAACTAACTTTCACATTTATTATATTAGTAAAGATATATTATAATAAGAACACAGTGTTTTAAATTCTAATACCATATAATAATTTCAAATATGGGTTTCTGTTGTTTTTTTAATCTAAATATGATTACTATTGCCGTAATTGTGATGAATAATATTTTATTATTATTATTATTAGGGAAGCAAACGAGCAGACGGTCTACCTGATGGAAAGCGGATATCGTTTTTTTTTGATGGGTGAAAATGGTATGGTAACCCCGCCTGCGCTAACGGGATACGCTGGCGGAGCACCAGTGAAGGGTGATAGATGAGAATGAAAACAGGCCAGTTAGTCCATCATGATGAATTCATCAGAATTAACCATGATAGTTTTCAGGGGGGACCGCGAGGAGGTCGACCAGGTTGGGTATATTGCTAGCAATGGGATTCACAGTCTCCATTACTAACAATCCCTTTCCCCCTAAACGGATACCGTTACCCATGCACACCTGCAATGATATTGGCAGAATTTTTCCACAGTTGACAATTTTAAGGAAAACAACCAGGAGCGTTGGCTTTCTGTACCTTCAGAAGTAAATGTTCAAGTCACAGTCATACATCTAACCGCAAATCTGACCGCATTTAAAATTACAAGGCGTGAAACGTTTAAAGACCGATTATGTACGTATCTGACTGTGTATTACTCATGTATAACATGCTTAATGTAAAATATATGTATAAAAATTATAAACAATTTTAATACATTTATTATAGTTGTGTATATTGGATAAGTGAAAGGTAATCGTTTATATTTCTTTAATTTAAATTCTAGCCTTACTTAATTCAAACTGTACAAGTGTGTACAAATGGGGGCCTGCATTCCTGAGGTCAGATCAGACAGACAGAGACAGATCTTTGATCTAGTTTCGGGCCCAGTTTCCAAGTTTTACAGTGCATATACGCATTTATAGTTATATTTTTTCATGTGGCTAATTATTTTCTGTTAAATTTGTGACTTAAATTTCATTTAGCGAAAACTAATCACTAACTAATTAAATCTCATGGGCAGCAAAAATAACGCGTTTCGCGTTATATTAACCGTTAACTGTTCACTGCTGAATATAGGCCTCCCCCATTAGGGGGTTTTGCCAATAGTTGTCACGTTTAGCAGGCAGGTTGACAACCGTAATTAGGCTTTGTTTCTGATTTAATAGGGACGTTGCTGCCCATTCTTAGACCAATAAATTCCCTTAATTGCTTCTTACGACACCCACAGGAAAGAAAGGGGGTGGCCCATTCCGAAATCACACATATCTACGCATACTTGATATATTTTAACTCTTATAACATGGTTATAGTTTCTAATACTATCGCTGGATTTTAGCTGAATACAAAATATCAGAGGAAGTATGAAAGTAGCGGCAGTGATAGAAAAGTTAAGAAGTAACCATCTATCCTGGCATGGGCACGTGATGCGCAGGAATGAGGAGCATATTTTAAAAAAGGTATTAAAAATGAATGTAGATGGCTATAAGGGCAGAGGAAGACCTAAAAAGACATGGATGGATTGTATAATAGACGATATGGCCAGAATGGGAGTGAATGCGGAAATGACTGGGAATAGAGAAGAATGGAAGAGGAATACATATTACGCCGACCCCAAATAATAATTGGGATAATGATAGGAAGATGATGATGATTCCTTTTGCATTATACTTACTTTATTTTGCACTTTACACCTAATATAGAGGTATATACAACAGGAAGAATTTTGATTTACTAGCCAACCAAGTCTGTTAGATCAATACGCTGCGATGACGTAGAAAACTACAAAGTATCGGGGGGGCCGCTCGGAGTTACGGCCCCCTCGACATTTGCATGAAGGTACCTGTTACGGTGGATTGGCTACAACAGTCAAGGGGAAATGTGATCGCACATAATGTAGTTTGTGGTGTAGATACAAGTAATTTTTACACATACAAAATTCGACCACGATCTTTAGGGTGTAAATTACATTCTGCTCTGTAAAATAACGAAAATGGCAGAATAACAGAAATCATAACAAAACCTGTTATTTTGATTTAAAAATCAAACTACTGGATCCATTACGATAAAATTTCTATGGTCTGAAATTAAGTATATTCATTTTGATAAAGTTTTGAAGTAACAAATATTAAAAAAAAAAATTACAACCGATTTGATAACAAGTATCGACACAAAACGACTAGCTTTCTTAGAAATATTTACGTAGAAAATATTTGAATTTAGAACAAGTTTACCAGGGTTGTGAATTGTTACAAAATTAATAGGAATATGAGACAAACATAGGGGTGAACCATATCGATGACAAATAGAATTAGTGCATATACAAATACAGTCACATACAGAAAGAATACAGGCGAATTGATAATCTCTTTCTTTTCAACCGACTTAAAAAAGTTTTTTTAATTATTATTAGTATTTTTGTTTGTTAAACAAAAAACAAAAACAAAATACATATATTTGAACTAGGAAACAAGCTAATTTCTCCCGACGTAAAATTGTAAATAGCCTCTATAGACAAGTCCAGCACCATGACTTTCATGTGTAGCCACAGTCTTGCAGTATCTGAGAACTGTGTCTGTATAAAGCCTTCGTATCATGTAATTCTACTGCCATACCTAACACTTCAAAAACCCTCCCTCTAGTCGATATGTACGTTCCAGTTATGAAAACTGACAGCCCATTAATAATATGTCATAATTTAGTAGGTGATACCTGATATTTTAATATGAGAAGGGTTCTGTTATTTATCAGTGAAACGAAATGAGATACTGTCTGATATAGATGTCAAGTGTTTCCGGAAAGGTGTGCGTATATTAAACGGACGCAGGACCGTAGCTAGGAACCATGTTTAAGGCAGGGCAAAAGAATTTTTTGGTGGGGCAGAAGCCATAATTAAGTGGCTTCGAAATAGCGAATCTGTCTAATTTTCTTAAACCTTTTATTTGAAGTTAGGACATTGGGCCTTTTAATTAGGGCATTGCCCTTTAATGCCCTCCCTAGCTACGGCCATGAATGGTTAATGAATGGTTACTCCGCCTTCGCTAACGGTATGCGTTGGCGGGGCACCAGTGAGGGATGATAGGTGAGAAGAGAAAGGCAGGTCAGTTAGCCCATCGTGATGAATACATCTGGAATTCAGCACACTGGTTTCTAAGGGGGACCACGTGGAGATCGACCTAACAGAGTGTATTGCTAGTAATGGGACTGAATCCCTCCCCCCCCCCCTCCTTTGAATGGACGTGTTATGAATGTGTAGGCCTTTACTTAGACGTTGTTATTCTCTCTGCCTTCACTGTAACTTGATGTGAAGGAAAAGAATGGGAAAAGGAAAAATCAGTATAAAATGTACGATAAATTAATCCCTAAGTAAATATAAAATGCAGCAAATGAATAATGCTCGAGGCCTTATCTAATCATATTTATCTAATATCTGGCTTTAATCGCTATGTTAAATGCCTATTTATAACTGGACTGGTCACACCTTGACTTGGTGTTAATAAAAACACATAAAAAAATATATAAAAATACAAACATTTATTACTTTAAAAATATAAGTTACAACATATTATACTTAGTACTACATATGACGAGTGTTACCGAAGGATATGCCGCTCTGCTGGCCTTTATTTGTACCGTACTGGAGCGAAATGACGTTCTGACCAGCTCTCAACTGCTCCTCAGTGAACTCCCGGACGTTCTTGTTAGCTTCTTTGGGCCCGATCGACGGCTTGCCGTAGTTACCGGCCTTCCTGCCTAGTGACTGCAAGCACGTTACAACAGAATAAAGATTCTGCTTCTCCCAGAGATCAATAGTTTGGAACGTCTCCTGGGGAGGCACTCCCAACTTCTTGGCGGCTTCCAGGAAAGAGTTGATATTTTCCATGCACTTGAAAGCCATTGTGGACTGGTTGACCTTTTTCACTGAGCCTTCCTGTATTGCGTTCACAAGTTGACATAGGAGCGTGCCATCTTTCAATACCTCGTAGAAGTTTCCCGCATCACCCGCTGTGTTGGCCGGGGAGCCGGTCAGCAACTTTATCCATTCGAGGGTCTCGTGGGCTATAGCATCGTTGTATTTACTGTTGATCCTGGCCTGAGCCTCAGCGTTGATTCCTGCTTTCCCCGCGCGGTATTCACCCATTTTGACGTACTGCTAGGTGTGTGAACAGGTAACGACTGAACTCCTTATGATAAACCGATACCAGATATCCGTTATATTGTGTGTTGATAGTGACATGACGCGTTCTATGAATATGTATGTAATAATTCGATTTTATCAATCATATCGCTGGTATTTTTTTTTCCTTTCGAAATTATCTAGATAGAGTTTTATATCTGTATTTGACATACTTTTTAAAAAAAAAAAACAAATCCAAATGAATTATGATGCTCATAGTATTAGATCTAATTATGCAATATATTTGCCGAAGTTAGTAAAATAGAAATTTGAATTATAGCCATTCAATTGAATATTAAATAGGTAAAAATTGAAAATTCTAGAAAACTGAATTATATGCTGTCATCTTATCTAATCGACTTTGATATTATCATTAAAGATAGTGCCCTAAATATGTGGAATTGTATACAGAAACGATCTGTATGTAATGGTATTATTAAGGTTATTGGACGTACTGCTAGTCACGTATTGAATAGGTTCTGGATAATTCAGTTTTCAATCAGTGGCCAGTGAGAGTCGTACAGAGATTTACGTCACAATTACGTTATGATCTACATACTATATACTATTTCCGAAACCAACCGCTAGAGGTGCAGCTAAGTTTTCATTACAAATTATCTATACGTAGGTTTTTTTAATGGGTGATAATGGACTGGTAACCCCTCCTGCGCTATCGGTATACGCTGGCGGGGCACCAGTGAGGGATGATAGGTGAGGATGAAAAAGCAGATCAGTTAGCCAATCGTGACGAATTCCACTGGAATTAATCACGACAGTTTCCAGAGGGAACCGCGTGGAAGTCGCTCTTATAAGATGTATTGTTAGGAATCAGACCCCATTACTAACAATCCCTTTTCCCCCTCTACACGTAGGTTAGATACATAAACGGTAACGCAATCGTAATGTAAATCCGTGTTCAACTAACGCCAGACCTTCTAAGCAAGTAATTATTTGAATTTAAGTATTTATAGTGGTATACGTCTTATAAACGATAAAACAAATATAAAATATTGTATCAGTTTCTACGATTTTTTAACTAATATTAATATTAGTTTTTCAAATATACTTTGATACTGTCGAAAAACATACAGGGTACGAAGGCATAATATCGTAGTTCTCAGGAATGGCAACGCCTGTAAGGGGATGGTGAGGGGGGGGGGGAGTTATCAAATGCATAATAGCATATTCTGTAATGCATATAGTGCTCACATAGTGCTGTTAATGTCTACAGGTGACGGCTCCATCACAAAGGACGTCAGGTCGTTTGCCAATCTAAGTATTATAAAAAAAAAAATGCGTGCACGTATCGAGACCGTAAACAGATTAAGTTTTTCTTTTTTTTTTTTTATTAACATATAAAAAGCTTACATTCAGTTATAGTCCTGTACAAATTTGAAAAGTTTTTTTTTAAAGTAAATGATTAATGATCGTGTACGTCTGAAAGAGTTTCAAATTCCTTTACGGCAATTATCATATGGAAATATCAACATACATATTTACTTATGATAATGATACTTACTCGTATTTAATTTTGATAATTGATACTATCTTAACATTCCACATAATTATTTCGAATACCATATCATATCACATAAAAAGATTATGAGGGCCATGAAAAATAAATTAGTAACACAAAATATTATTTTGTCATATTTCATGGTCTTTTTTTTATACAACTTACAATGGCAAACAAGCTGACGGCCCAACTGATGGAAAGTGGTAACCGTCGCCTATAGACATGAGCGGCACCATGAACATAACAGAGTATACTGTTTCACCCATGATACCCCCATGCGTTCCCATTCCTGAGGACTCAGGTGTTATTCCTCTGTACCCTGTAAATTCACGGCATATCCCACCCTTCAAACCGAAACACAGCCATGCAAACACAACTACTTCACGGTAGAAACACGAATGGGACAGAGGTACCCGAGCAATCGACTTTTATACAAAGCCTCCCTTTGGTCTGCTTAGTTGTGGTGGTAATTGTATATTTTTATTCCCTAAAACATGATTTCAACGGTTCCGAAATTATATCAGACGATCTTCCTATTGCGTGGTTTTGCCAATAGTTGCCACGCTCGACGGGCGGATTGGCAACCGCAATTAGATTTTGGTATTGTTTAAGAGAGATACTACTGCCCATTTCACGACCATTAAGTTCCTTTAGTTGCCTCTTACGATATTCACGGAAAAAGGGATGACCCATTCTATGTCGGAAGCATACGACAACATAATAATTACATGTCCTCTTATACATTAAACACAACTGTTGTTGTTTTTAAACGGGAGTAAACCCTACCAAATTAAAAAAGTATTATTAAAAATAAGTTCACAATTTGCAAAAATACGTATAACATTTTATCAAGTAATTATAAAAAATAGAAGTTTCCATTTGCCTGTATTTTGTGTGTATATTACGAGATATCTATGCCAAATACGTAACCGATTTCTGTAATTCTTTTTAGGGTAGGATTTATTGATTCTCAAGTCGGTCCCATACTAATCGTCACGATTGAAGTCACAGTTTTTTACGCAGTAAAATATTAATTTATTGACAATGTTCTATACTTCTGCATGTATTGCAGGGAATTAGTGGATACAGGTAAACTAGGGAGCAATCCCTATGGCAGTCTATGGGAAAGACCTACGTGCAGTAGTGGGCAATTAACAGCTGAGATGATGATGATGATGATAATAATAAGGAACGAGTATTTATGAATTTAGTATTCAGTAGGTAATTTCTGCAATGGTGACTCGAATATATTTAAATATAATACCCGTATGTATAAATTAGACGAGATAAATGATGCAGGCATTTGGACCTTATCAAGTCGACCTTCACGCGGTCTCACCCACAAACCACCCATAAACCACGAGTTTATGGGTGAACTCGTGACGATTGGTCATCTGATTTAACTTTACCTTCACTTATCATTGCTCACTACCAACGGAAACAATAAGCGAAGGAGCTATAAATCCATTTCAACATCGATTAAAAAAAAACACATATTTAAATTTTTATGAAATCATAACGATGTGCCAAGCATTTTTACTTTGTTATTATTATTATATACTTTACAAGTTTAATTTTTTTTTTAATAATGTTCAACCAATAAAAAAAAAATTGGTTTATGGTCCCCCATGAGTAAAAGCCTCCTTCAAATTCCATTTACTTCGATCTGTAACAACATCCATCCAATTTTTCTCTACTTCTTCTATGACTTCATCACTCCATCTTATTCTTTGTCTTCCAACACATGTTTTACCTATAGGGCCCAGCCATTTAATTGATCTATCCCGTGTCCTTATACCTAGCTACATCCCCTACCCATCTCCATTTCTGTTTTCCCATCTATATTTACACTAATCATCCCATAATTACCCCTGCCAGCGTAAAGCGTTACTACTGCATTTTCGTGCAATAAAAAAAAAAACCAATAACAAAGCTTGTATTGCAACATTAGGTATTTCACGGCACAGATATGCAACTTTTATTGTGCACCGTTGCGGCGGTGAACACAATAAAGAATGGCGGATTTCCAACAAAGGCCCACCTATCACAATTACGAGTACACCTTGATAATACCAGCGATACGATCAAACAAATAATGTATTAATATCATCTGAGATCTTGTGTGTGATTAAAGTATTTTTAATTATAATAAGTAAAAAGAAGTGTATATATTTCACTGCGATAAAAAAAATAGCAGTTTCAATAATCACAAAGTTAATTTTACACAGAAATAATACTTACCGATTACAAAATGAATCGTCAAAATCGGTTCTGAATTCGTGACGTATCTGTCGTCATACTGTCATCGATTGTATTGTTCTTGTAACATGTTAATAAGATCAGATGGTGATAAATAAAAAAAAAAAAATGATTATTTGAATATAGTCATTGGGAAGTATATTAGTCTGTATTTGTTCAGGAAGATGATATGTTATGTGGTATTATAAAAAAAAAAAAGTTTCATCAGACATAAGATACTACACAGATGCACATAATAAGCAATCAGATCACATTTCGATCTACTTTAAAAAGGAAGTTGTTGCTGGCAGCTTGGTCAGCCATTCTTTTTTAAATACATATTTGTATTTTTATATTACATATTTTTGTACTTTTTTCGATATATGTTTATTGATGCCTTCTTTTTGTTAGTTCAAATATATACAGTTCATATTACATATTGTTTTAATTATGTATGAAAAGTTGTATCTTTTAGTTTTACTGTTCCTCCAGTCATAGAAACAATTTATTAAATTTTGTTTTCATGTGTATGCGACTTAATATTTTTACCCATTCTGAACTTATTATAATTATCATTTTTTAATAGAAATTTTATATTGGTCCTACAATAACTATGCCAAAATTAAAATAACTATTTTGTGCATTACATGTTAAATTATTTTATCTACAAATTGGTTCGGATTTACATGGGTAGATAGAAATTACGAAAATAATATATAGCCTATGTTAATCGCTGATAATATAGCTTTCTATAGGTGGGAGTATTTTTAAAATCAGTTGAGTAATTTTTGAGTACATCCATTACAATCAATAAAATTTTTCCTCTTTATAATATCAACCATAGACTACTATAATTTATGAATTTACACCACCAATATTACATAAAAAAGTAAAAACAATGAGTTGTATTTGATATTACACACACACTTACACACTGTCCATTTATCAACTGACTTAAAAAAAGAAGGTTTTCAGTTCAGTTATTTTTTTTTATGCTTGTTAACCCATAATTCTGTCAGTTCTAAACCAATTTGAAAATTAATTTTTTTTATCTGAAAGATTACAGTTTGGTTCTACAGAAATTTTATCAAAATTATTTCATTAGTTTAATTCTTAGATCAAAATAACTAGTTTTGTTATAACTGAAGATAGTTTTATTTGTGGGCTACAATCTGTGGGCTGAAAATTATAAAAAAGTTCAGTCTTATATATTAAACTGTGAGCTCTATACATGCAATAGTACAGATTTAAGATTTTTTGTGATATTTCTACTCATATTTTAAAAACAAAGAACATTATATCCATACAATGTTACCGTTAATTAAAACTGTAATTGATATGATAAGATATAATCAGTAAAATTTTTTTTATTAACTGTTTTAGAGTTACATTGATTGTACTGATATATAGTTCGTAGTAACTTTATCCTTAAGAATTTAATTATAAATTAATCATTGTAGATAATAATAGAGTCAGTCTAGAGCACCCTGATATAATATTTATTATTAAAGTTATTAACAATACCCCAAACATGTATTGTGAACATATACATGATGTATGACTGTATGAAGTTTTTTTTTTTATTATATTTAATACTACTAACATTATAAATAGTAAAGTAAGTAAAGATATTTGTTATTCAATCATATTTAAACGATTGAATGGATTCCAAAAAATCATAATAAAGAAGTTCTTGTGTATCTTAAACAACGGTTTTGTATTATATTTGCTTGTCTAATGTTTTAAACAATAATTTTGTTAAATATGCTTGTTATATTTTTAAGCAAATAAAATCTGGTACAACACATGGTAGCAATTTTGGCCGCCGGCGATTTCAAATTACTGTGTGAATGAAAAAATTAGACATTCGCTGGTGATATTAGCTATCACCAGCGAATGTCTAATGTTTTCATAAGAAAAAAAAAATACCAATTACAGCGGAAGTAAAGAGGGTAGCTATTTTACGAATTACCATTATATTCTCTTTGGTGGTTTAAGAAAAAAATTTAAACAGACTGACTAGATGGATACCGCGAGTTTCGTAAAATAATTAAATACATCAAGTACATGCGTACAATGGCAGTAAATAATAGAAAAAAAAAAACGTTAATTTATGTTAACAACATCGAACGACACGACGAAAATAATAATAAAACTTGAGAAAATCTAACAAGAATCTGTTAAGTTTCATAACTGAAACACAACGCACTGAAGTGACAAGGCAATAATTCCGATAACATCATAGTCAAATCAAACAAAAGTACAAAACCCAGGTGAAACAGGTAAATAGTTGCGAACTTACCGGAATTTATTATGCTGATAATAAATATAATAATTTCACTAGACGCAATTAGGATGATTAGTGGACAATATCCATTGTATATCACAATACACTCCACATGCACGGTAAGTTTTTATTTATTATTTCGTTCGCTGACCGCACAAAAACTCTTTACGAGCACAAAACAAAATTGCTTACCGTCCGAAAATTGTATGCGTTGCCTGCGATCCTCCCCACCACGTGACATTGGTCTGACGTTTGTGCTCGTTTATGATTGGATCATTGGTTGTCGAAAAAATAGCTTCAAGCAAGTATCGATAAAATTATATGTCGATAAATAATGAAAGTCAAAAAAAAAAATTATATTATAATATTATTCATTTACATTATGAGCTTCATTAAAGATTACCTCAGTTTGCAATTTTTCTTTCCTGAATAAAGTTTAAAATTCTAAGTTCGTGATTTTGCTAGAAGTACTGTAGAATTCTAACAATCAATGAGTATTGCTTCCTGACTACTAAACATTCAAACTCTTTGCTTTATTCACAATAAAATTACAAATTAAGAGAGATTAAAAGTATATCCGATTCAGCGGGAACACTGCCGTATTCTGTTAAGAAAGTTGGCAATCGTATTCATTATAAGTATTTCATTATATTCATATAAGTATTTCATTTACGAAGTATTTTAAGAGATATAAATTATGTTATATTTTTATGATATTTATTAACAAAATTCTAATAAAAAATAAAAAGTTTCTAATAATCATTTATAATAAGTTAATAATGCCAAAAGCCTGCCCCAATTAAAATATTTCTAAAGCCTGATTGTGGTTGCCACTTTACCTGCCAAACATGGCAACTACTGCCAAAACTCTCCAAAAGGAAGGCTTATGTTCAGCAGTGCACAGTCAAGGGCTGATATGATGATGATGAATATCAAAAACATAATACTGTCATCAGCTTTTAAATAACAATCATATAATTCTGAATTCTATATTTATTACGATTATATTAGATTATCTCACTCAATGTTTATTTCTTTAATCGATATTTCATAAAAGTGGACATTTTGCACGTCACTTAATCTTTACTAGTAATGGACTTTGTACACGGTCATTGATTAATTTAATAATGCAAAGTATAATGTAGTGAGTACTTACTCTGTGACGCAAAGAATTTAGGACAAAATAGCCCACAAAACTCTGTCTCCATCTTACTATCAGTAATATCTAAATGATCTCTCAAAGACTCAAAGATCTATTATAGCATAAATTATAAAGGAAATTACGCGTATTATAAGCATCTAATGTTTATATATAAATAAAACGAGAAAAATACTTATATGTACCCAATTCTGATTATTGAATAAAAGAATCATTTTAAGTTCATGTTGAGACAAAAGTACATTTACTTTTCGACTACACATCTCACAGTCTCTAATATCTAGATACTTATTTTTTTATTATTATTTTAATATTTTTTTTATACGTAAGTAACAATCTCAAAATTTTGTTAAATTATTATAATATAGAAAATGAACGCATGTGCTGCCTCTGTTGAACGATTTAGGAATTAAAGTTACTATAATGAAATTAGTCTTATTTTGGTCAAAATTTATTTTCGACAAATGGCGCTAATTGTTAAAAAATATTTCATTATTAAATTCATCTAGCGATAAATAGCAATCGTGTTAAGTGATTGAATACAATTTTTCTACAATTAGTAATTGTTCGCAGTGTTCACGCAGTATTCTCTTATAGGAATTACTGACGTGTAAGTTTAGTTCCAATGTAAAAGATAACACAGTCAGTAGTGAATTTTATATATACTTATATCTAATAAAGGAATTATAAAGCAATTTTGTAAATATGTATTTGCAATTTAATTTGATCAAATCTTAATATGAAAAAAAAAACCGGTTGTGCAATTTCGGAGCTTAGAGTATACAAACAAAGTAATATATCAGTTTCTATATAATACCTAGCTTTTACCCGCAACAAAGATATGAGTTGATACTCAAGATGGTTTCCAGGGGATCTGTATATTGGAGGTTGACCTGACAGGTTATATTGTTAGCAATGGAGCTGTTATATCCCCATTACTGACAATCCTTTGCCTCCCGTCACTACTCCAAAAAGTCTCCCAAAAAGCAGTACTATTGTAGTACTGCTTTTGTAAATATGGCCGTTAAATATCATAAGATACATTCCTTTTCTTTCTAAATATGTATATAGCCTGGTATAACCTGATGGTAATCTGTTTTTTTGATGGGTGAAAATGGAATGGTAATCCCACTTGCGCTAACGGGATACGCTGGCGCGGCATCAGTGAAGGGTGATCAATGAGAATGAAAACAGGCCAGTTAGCCCATCATGATGAATTCATCAGGAATGAACCATGATAGTTTCCAGGGGGAACCGTGAGGAGGTCAACCTGGTTGGGTATATTGCTAGCAATGGGATTCTCAGTCTCCATAACTAACAATCCCTTTCCCCCGATGATAAACGGTTACTGTAGCCTTTCGACAACTAATTCTTGGTGTAGGGTTGTCGTCAAGAAGACCCTTCACAACTTGAGTGTTCGTGGGAGGAAACTCCTCTGAAACCGTTTACTAGTGTGTGAAGATTAAGTTTTTGTTGATAGCGTATAATAATATGTCAACTTTTATAATCAGTGCGATTTTAAAAGTTGATATATTAATGCAAACTCAGGTAGAGCATCAAAGAAACTTTGAAATGACGACGGCGATATTGAACTTTGTCAACCACCTACGATTATAGACCTATCGAAACGTAGTTGAGTTTTATCCCATTAAATCTATTATTAGGTTCACTTTATTTACAAATTGACATTGAACTAGTAACTCTTATAATAGTTTATTTTTCGGTTGCATAGCATAACAAGACGTTTACTATCCGAGTATAAAAGTTATAAATGCATCACATTTTAGTCATAAATGTTCTAGATCGCGCCAGCGTTTTCAAAAATATCTATAAAGAGCGTAACTCTATTCCTAGCCACTCGTAATAGTTTCATATTCGCGTGAGAGTCGTTAACCAACAATTATTTTGATTTTAATTGTGAAGAGGAATCGGACCGTTGCGATGTAAACAAAACTGAGCATCGGCGACGAGGTCACGCCACCACGGCACGAGCCGAGTGGTGGGAAGGGAGGAGCGCGCGCGCAGGGCGCATGCGCGCGGCGGCGGCGGCGGCGGCGGCGGCGGTGGTGGGCGGCGCGTGCGCAGGGCGGGCGGCCGCGGCGTCAGTCCGCGCGCGCTCTCGCCATGGCTCGGTGGCTGAAGGCCCTGGCGGCGCTGCTGCTGCTCGCCGCCGCCGCGACCGCGCGCAAGTCGCCCGCCGCCCCAAAACACGAACCCCAGATCGAGGAGGTCACCGCGAAACAGTTGGAGCGTGTGCTGGAGGATAAGGACTTCGTCGCGGTGTACTGGTGTAAGTGGCCACTCGGCTGCCGCCCGCCGACCGGCGCGCGTCTCCGGTTAAATTTGCGAGCTCTCGGCTGGCCGCCGGCCAGCGCGGGGGCGATGCCGTGTTGAAACGTCTGCGACGGCGCCCGTCCAAATGGGTTATCGGCGAGTTAATGATCTTCGGACGGGCAGAGGGAACGCCGCGCTTTCGGCTGTAGTGGCATGATATTTTAAAAGCGAGCGGCTCGGCCCGCGATTTATGAGTTATGCAACCGTGCGGCGGAGACAATAAAACTTGACCCGGCCGACCGGTGCGACCGTCGGCACGGCCTAAAATGGCCGAGTCTCGTTTTCCACCGTTCCAACGATGCTGGCTCCGCCAAGGTCGCGTGGCGCCTACGCATTGAGCTCGGCTAAAACTAGTGTGGTGTGCCGGCGCATGTACAGCTGAAATAGACACTTATTACGTGGTATTAGAATTCCGAATATTTTCTTTTGTCGTCAACCGAGATGTTTGACGTATCTCGTGTGCTGTTTGTTGACACGTCACGTTTTGTTCGGCTACTGGTTAAAGTGCAATTCGTAAGTGTAGCCCGAGAGCAATTGTCCTTTCGCGACGCATTGTCACACGTTCACGAGTTATGTTGACGCACCTTGCTATCTTTATCCGTTGCCGAGTCAGTTATGCATCTCTCACACATTCGAAGGATGCTGTCACTGGTCCAGACACAAAAAGTGCAATAAATCAATGTCGAAGCCGGCAGCACCACAAAAGTTTTGGCTAGGCGCTCAGATCGTTCGTTACTAGTTGCGTTTTCAAACAGGGATCATTGGACTCTTGAATGGAAACTTTTGCGGAATATTTTATATTTAGGTGACATATTACAATTTACAAACAATTTATCAACAGAAACATAAACAATGGTTTATAGGTAATACGACAGACATGTCATAATTATGTGGCCAAACTATACTATAAGGGATACATATTTTATATTAATAAATACCAGCTGATTTTAATAATAAGTTGGAAAATATATGATAAATTTCTACTTTTAAAATATATTTCTAAATTTTAAACGGACTTTCAAAACAATTTTCTAGATGGGATCATCATTGCAATTCTAATTGCCATTCCTATTATAATTTTATATTTACAGGAATTTAATTTCATTGTATTAACACCATTTTAGTTTAATCCTCTATAATTTAAGTATCGAGATACCTAATGAATATGTAAATTGTACATTTAAATTACTAAATTTTCTTATATTATTTACAGACTTAAATAAAAAAATATATATACATATATTAATATTTTCTTATACATAACATTTCTTTCTAATAATTCTTTATCAAACGTTTCGTTAGTGGATATTTTCAGATCCTATTTACTAAGATTTCGTTTTTAAATATATAAAATACTCAAGTCAATTACAATTTAAACAGAAAGTGGTAGTGGAGTGCAATGCGCTTCAGTGGAGTAACTAACATAAAACATCTGCGTTACAAAAATAGTACCAGTTGCCTAGTATTTGTTAGAGAAAAGACATAATTGCGAAAATGTTCCTCTACAACTGTTTGTGTTGGATAACATCCAGAATCGTGGCTGTTATCATTAATTCCTGGATTAATGAAAACTACGACAATTTAAATTTAAGAAAAGTGAAATTTAAGAGGCGGAAACCGGTCATTTTACATTAAAATAACACGTGTAATATTTAACGATCATATAAAAATATGTGGAGAGTTAGTCATTTAAAATAAGTGAAGATTTCCTAAAGTCTAAAATTGTCCATTAAGAATTCTTAATGGACAATTTTTGGACGTTCATCATCATCATCATCAAAATCAGTCGTTAATTATCCATTGCTGAACATAGGCCTCCTCCTTGAAGGAGTGTTTTGCCAGTAGTTGCTTTGCTGATGTTTTAAGAGGGACGCCGCTGCCCATCCCTCGATCATTAAGTTCCATTAGTCGCCTATTACGACACCCACGGAAAGGTCTTTACGTATTAGTAATAGTTTTATGAGAAAATATTACATTGTATCTAGAAAATGTATCTTTAATAGATATATTACATGTGAGAAAAACAGTGAAATAATAAATACCGATGAGCTTAATTCCATTCAAGTAATAAAATTAATACAATTAAAACAATATATAGGAATGATCATATATTTTGAAACGACTATTGCATGTTTTCAAAAGAAGGAGGTTCTGACTTTAGGTGTATTTTGTTTGAGTCTCAAAAGAGAAATTCAGAAAACTAACGAGGACCAAAATATAATAAAAATTAACAAATAAGTAACAATATGTATACAATATGTGGGCGGTGTAGAGCTTTTGGTAAAATTCTTCCAAATACTAGAGAGCATACACATGAAATTAAAGAAGTAAGCCTCAGAATGGACCTAGAAAACAAAACATATATACGGTCGATTTGAGAAACCTCTTCCTTTTTTTGAAATCGGTTAAAAAAACGAAGGCATTGTTTAACAAAACAAAAAATAAGAGTAACCAATAATTACAATGTAAAATAATATTATTTTCATACTTTGTATGTATAATATCAGAGAAATAAACTTATTTTGGGCAAATAATTTTAATTAAAATCATATTCGATTATAAGGATATACTATTAAACGTAAGAAATGAAAATTATTGGAAATATTATAGGCTTATGGAATGAATACTAAAGGACAAAAAGCATAATGAGTATCATAAAAGACAAATTGACAATACGTTCATATTCTCGGCTAAATTGACTAGCAAATATAAAACATTGATACTTACTAATGAATAAGAAACGAAATAAGAGCTTAAGTACTAGAAAATACTTAAGTAACAGAAAGAAAAAAATGACAAATAGAAATAAGTTGAAAAATAAACAAAAATAGATGAAGTCAGCTAAAATGACAATAAACTGGACCAATAAAGAGTTGCAAAGAAAAATGAAGTAGTCGTACTAAGCATGTATCTAAGAGAAATACCTAAGAGAAATAAGGAAAAATGATTAATATCAAAATTATTAATGAAAAAAAGGGGGAGAGGGATTGTTAGTAATGGAGACAAATCCCATTTATATACCTGACTAGGACCTCCTCGCGGTTTTTCTTGGAAACTATCATGGTTAATTCCTGATGAATTCATCACGATGGGCTAACTGGCCTGTTTTCATTTTAAATATTATATGAAAAAAATCAAAAAAAAAAAAAAAAACTATGAAAAAAATATCAAAATCGGTTTAGAATTGACAAACACACAAAAAGTTCTATGTATGTCGTGAAAAATTGAGTATGAAGCAGTGATATAATCATCGTGGATTTTATGACTTATATGAAAAAGTTTCATGGAATAATAAAATTACTTACAAACTTTTTTGGTCTCCATCAACTTCAAAAAGAAGGATATTTTCTATTCGGTTATATTTTTTTTTAAATTTGTTACCTCATAACTCCATCAGTTCTAAACCGATTTGGAATTTTTTTTTGTCTGATAGGATATACTTACAAATTGGTCCCATAGACATTTTATTAAAATCAGTTTAGTAGTTACGTTTTTATAACTAAATAACTAGTATTATCAAAATTTAAGTAAGTTTTTTGTAGGACACAATCATAAATTAATTTCAATATCTTTTATTGATATTAGGCATATAATACAGGTAATTCATTAGAATTTTTTATTATATCGATACCTACTAGCTAATACTGAAAGATTATCGAAATTTGATAATCATTATATTTGTATGATTGATTTTTCTTTTTATTAATTTCAGTAGTAATAATTACGGAATTGTTGTCATAATATCTACCTTTACAGATTGGTCCCATAGACATTTTATTAAAATCAGTTTAGTAGTTACGTTTTTATAACTAAATAACTAGTATTATCAAAATTTAAGTAAGTTTTTTGTAGGACACAATCATAAATTAATTTCAATATCTTTTATTGATATTAGGCATATAATACAGGTAATTCATTAGAATTTTTTATTATATCGATACCTACTAGCTAATACTGAAAGATTATCGAAATTTGATAATCATTATATTTGTATGATTGATTTTTCTTTTTATTAATTTCAGTAGTAATAATTACGGAATTGTTGTCATAATATCTACCTGATTAGACTGTTGCACACTATCATATCTCGCGATTATTTCTGATAGATATCAGTCGTTGAAGCTATCACTATAGTTTGGCAGTTTTTGTATAAATTTTTTTAAAGCTTATATAATAAAAGATTATGTAGATAAATACAATAAAGACAAGAGAATACTGAAATATGTACTGAAATATGAATAAATATATATCAATACTTAAGTAACTAATAATAATAATAATACAGAAAATACGTATCTATCGTGAAATAATTTCAATCATTAAATAATATTGTAATAAACTCATTAATTATTTATAAAGTAAAAAAAGGTTATCCTCTCCTTTCTCCCATTTGCTGTGCCCAACAGGATTCATAATAAGAGTTGTTTTAATATCTACCAACCGCATTACGGAATGCAATAAGAAGTAAATTAAAATAAAACATAATCAACTTCAACAAAATAAAACAATTCAACTTATTTTTACAAATATCATAAATGTGAAAGTTAGTTTCATTTGTTATTTTTTCGCGCCTTAGTGTTTGAACTATTGGTTATGAAATTTCGTGTACATGTAGTATTTGGATAGAGTCGACCGGAATGAACACGATTGTTTCCAGCGGGAACCGCAAGGAGGTCGACCTGTCAGGGTAGGACATAGTTTACTTTTTATCTTGATCAATCAAAGTACTTGTATAATTTAGTAGGTATTTAAGCAATAATTTAGAAGCTTTTTTTTTGTGATGCGTTTAATATATAAAAATTTGATTTATTTATAGATAATTAAACATTTCTAGATAATACAAACAGACAATTTATTAATACAAATTTTACTGTCTTGTTCTGGGACTTTTTAAAAGTGTAGAAAAAAAGGCGAGTTTCTCAATACATGTTAGCGGTATCTACTAAAATTGTCTAG